TAGGGTGGGCTGACATTGTGACTCCAGGACACATGAACTTTGAGGGTCACTGGCAATCTGCTCCCTATGTCTGTTTCCCTACCCATAGCCCCACTCTTGTGTGGCCATGGGGACCCACCAGGCACTGAGGAGAAAAAAAGAAGCAAACATTTTCACTTTTTAAAAAACTCTGCCGTTTTGTATTTAATAACTTCTTTGTCAGTAATGTTATTTGCTCTGTGTGTGAGCGTGCGTATGTTTGTGTGTATACGTACATGTGTGATTTTGGTGGGTTGGGGCACAATTCTGGACTGGACTTCTGAGCTATGCCTTGCCCCTTCATCCTCAACTTCCAAGTTCTGCATTCCTAGAGCACGCTGACTTGGCCCTGGATCACCATTCCCACCTTAATGTTGCTTATGGCTCTGGTCCCTTGGACTCTCTGAATAGAGCAGCCAGTCTCAACCCATTTCCTGCAACAGAACCAGGAGGCAGCATGTGATGCTTGGATTACACTGGGACAGAAGAACTCTGGATGGATGGCTGGGGTTTACCGTGGCCCTTAGCTGGACTCTTTCTCTACCAGCCTCCCTCTTCTCCCTTTCCCCCAGCAGCACCAGCAGCTGCTGATATCCTGCTCATTACTCAATGGTACTTGGGGGTGGGCTGATGTTGGGGGAAGGCAGCAGCCACTGGGGGAGCTGCTACCATTTTATACCATTGTTTACTCTTTTCTGTGATTAAAAGTGCTTCAGCCCTCCTCTACTGTCCTAGCTATTAAAGTGATTGTTCCTACCTGGCTCACTGGATCCATAGATTGGAACTGAGGGTCTTAAGAGGTCTAGCTCTTCACAGAACATTAAGGGAAAATACATCTGAGTTATAACTAGGAGTTGCTTGGTAAAAGAAAGATGTAATTCTTCCTAAACAAGTGACTACCATATGACATTTTAAGAGTCAAGTAGGTGAGTCATTCTGACCAGATGATTTCTTAAGTTCACACTGTTGTATCTGAAGAAAAGGCCACATGGTATGCTCAAGTGAGCATCTGTGACATGGGACAAGTCACATAACCACAGACTCACAGACTGCTAAAGGGGCTTTAATGATCACTTAGCCTAAATTATTCATTTTATAGAGAGAGAAACTGAGGGCCAGAGCAGTGAAGTGACTTATTTAAGGTTAGAAGCAGAGCTTGGACTAGAACCAAGGTCTCCTGATTCCAATCCAATGTTCTACATGACACTGGGTCAGAGTTAATTATTTCTAAGGTTCCCCCCATCTGAAAAACTCTAAAGAGCCAATGAGAGAAACACCTCCATTCCAAATGGTGAAGCTTTCCCAAGAATTTCCTGCCATTCAGTCTCCCAGAATTACTATGCCAATTCTTGCAGGCTTTTCCAGCTTGATAGGACGTATCAAAGCTTGAAGAGTGACCTGGGGTCCCACCTTCATGCTACAATGAAACATCAGAAGGCCTGTTGTTTAAGGACCAGCCTGGCTAAATTCAGAGAAGGAGCATCAGGTCTGCTGCAGGATGATGGATTTTTTGGCCACAGCAACTTGTGAAGACCATCTGCTACTTTATGAGTGGATGTGACCTGCCTCAATCAAAAGCATAACCACGTTGATGAATGATAACTTGAAGAATGTTATCTTTAGGCACTGATCTTACCAAAATGTTTCTGAGATTTGGATCTAAATTTCAGTAACCAAGTATTGGTGTATAATTACCAGCAGGTAATTCTGACTGATACTGATGCGGATTAAAATTAGAATGACTAATCTGTCTCCTACTTCCCACAAAAGTTACTTTGTCAGGGTGATGGAAAAAAGGGCCTGAAACCTTGGATGTGGGAGAATATATTTTCCAGTAGCTAGGCTTCAGTATCTAAATGTGCTTCCTGAACCTGCCACTTCCCAGAATAGTTTATCCTGGTGAATGTGTATAATCGAGAATGTCTTCAAAGTCAGAAAAGATAGGTTCAACTGGTTTTAGGACTTGTAGTATCACAAAATCCCATATTGATACCAAGTCCAAAGTTAACTACACAGGACTTTGATGTATTTTGATAGTATTCCCAGTATCTTGGTAGTGGGAAAATGGATAAGGCTTCAATTCCATTTGGAAAGGCTACTAAAGTTAGTTTCATGTGAACAGTCTAATTCCCAATGCAAAACTGACTTTTGCAACTCAGTGTTACAGTAACTGGTCACTAACGGCTCTCCTGAGTTATCTCAGCATCTGGGTTTACTATCCATTTCTTTTGAGGAAATTTTAACCTCAAACATTCCAGATCTTTTATTACCAGACTCCCCCTGGCTAAAGTCTATTTAGAAGTGCTAGAAGGGCCTCTCAAAAACTAAAGGGGAAAAGGAAATGAGGACAAAAAGCATCTAGCCTCTTTTGGGTGGGACATGGGCTATCAGCTTGTCTCTCTTCTATTGACACTTATGTAGAAGAGTTAAAATAATAAAAAGGAAACAGTTCTAGTACAACAAAATGGGTTTAAGCCAAGCAAGCCTTCACAGATATTCTTGGGAAAACACTGAGGGACCAGTTAAAGTCAGCATCTCAAACTGGGAGCCATTTTTGTTTCTGAGGAAAGAAATATGACAAACCATAATCAGGGTGGTAGTTTCTCTGCAGATTCAGCTTCACATAAATGATGTAGCACTTGTTTTCCTCTAGCCAAGAATAAAGGAATCTGTGAGTTCTCTTCTGATCAATCAATACAGACAGGTTTACTGAAGTGCATAGAGTAAACCTACAAAATAGTCTAAGGTAGGAGATTATGCACACAGCAGGCAGTAAATAAATACTTAATTGACTTAAGAATGAGTGACTAGAGGCAGAGATGAGCAGGCTATCTGGGAGCTGATGAAAAGGAGGTAAGCAAAGTTAGAACACTCAAATTACTATGAAGCCATCTTTCATTTCTTTCCTTCTTGGTCAGTTAGATGTTATCTCCCAGGATAAAGGTAAAGAGCTTGAGAGTTCATGTTATATGAGGACTGACTGGAGGAACTGGAGGAAACTGGGAGAGGGAGACACGAGACTTACTAACTTCCCACAAAAGGATTAGACTTGTTCTTTTTGGCCCAAAGGACATATCTGTGTACAACAGGAGGTATTTGCAGAGAAGCAAAGTTAGGCTCAATGTAAGGAAAAGCTTCCTGATAATAAAATCTATGCCAATTTGGAATGGACTCCCTTGAGAGGTCATAGAATCACAAATTCAGAGTCAGAAAGGGTCTCGTGTCATCCAGCCTAACCTCTTATTTTACATATGAGGAAACTAAGGTCTGGGGAGGTTGTATCTTCCACACAAAGCGTATGGGGTGTTCAGGAGGACTAGCACCTCTGGCATGAGGGCTTACTGCTCATTCCACTTTTGGTGTCCAACTCTCAACTCTCACCTGTGACTCCAAGAGGCTAAGTACGTAGAGCAGGCACACCAAAGGAAAACGGTCTTGAGCTAACTGGGTTGAGGGTAACGGACAGGCTTCAAACCCTGTCAGTAAATTAGGGGATGTCTACCCAAGCATATGAAGACTCTCCCCTGGCAGAAGGAGGCTTTAGCAGGTGCCACAGAGCACTTGGAGCTTGGTTAGACATTGAAGACGCCAAGGTCATCCACTGCATCCCAAGCTGCTGCCGGTTGTCTTGACTTTCGTCTTGCCATCGGACTTGGATTTGGGTGAGCAAGTAGCACAAGTTATCAGCCAATCCACACACCAGTCAAGACTGGTCCTCACGGAAAACAACAAACAATGGCTGGGCTGCGGTACAAACCTGGGTCCTAGAAGTCCCAACCCATCCTCTTTTCTACTTCATCATGCTGTGGGTTGGGCTCCCCATCACAGGAGTTTTTCTGACCCTTTCTCAACTACGCAGGGATTCTTGTTCCAAGAACACATCGGAGTTGGACTATTTACCCTCTGAGGTTCCAGCTCTCATGGTGCCACATACACCTATGTACCCCTAACAAAACAGAAGCCAAAGTCAAGCTATCCAGACTGCTGGGGCTTAGGGTCCTGGGCTGTCGAAAGCAAGCAGTCTACCCCCAAGAGCTATGTGTTCCTACTTTAAGGAAGGGCATTTTAATCTGAAAGCCCACTGAATCCCAAGGAACTATATCTTTTACATGTAGGGTTATCAACCTCTCCTTGAGGCTTCTAATGGAATCTTAACAGGTTTGCTTCTGAGTACAGCTACTTGAAAAAAGCATAAAGGCTAATATACTCAGTGAGTTTAGTATCAATCAGACTACAGAGTACTGTATTCAGTTCTGGATCCTATTAACAATACCAACAAGGAGTACCAAACTGAGGAGTTTGGAAACCATAAGGAGCAGTCGAAGGAACTGAAGTTTAAGCAAAAGAGACCTGGGAGAGGAAGGAAGCATAATCACTCTTTGCCAGATGAAAGGAAAGGATTAAGCTTCAGGAGGCAAAACTGTACGGAAGTTACAAGGTGGTGTATTTTGTTTTTACATAAGAATTTCGGAACACTCAGAGAAGTCTGATGATGGATTGGGCTGTTTAGCAAGTTCCCAGGTACTAAAGGAGTTGAAGCCGAGGATGGATAGCATCTGGAAGGATATTATAGAGTGATTAATACTTTGGGTAGACATATGGATAAATGATTTTTTTTTCTTTTTGGGCTAGGCAATGGGGTTAAGTGACTTGCTCAGGGTCACAGCTAGTAAGTGTTATGTGTCTGAGGCCACATTTGAACTCAGGTCCTCCTGAACCCAGGGCCAGTGCTCTATCCACTGCACCACCTAGCTGCCCGGTGGATAGATGATTCTTGCAATCACAATGCACTTTAGCAGTGTGTGAAAAATAAACTCTACCCAAATTTCTCAGGTAGGTAACTGCTCATGTTACTTTATAGGTAATCAAATTCAAGGATGTTAGGAGTACAGTCTGACCAGGACAATGGGAAGCTGAGAAATGTGATTTCTGCCCTGATCAAAAAGAATAATCCCCAACTCAAGTAAACAAATACCACGAGCTTGAAATGGCAAACCATATTTAATGTCTTTGTATGTCCTTCACTGTCACCCCTCCACTGTGATCCATCATCACTCAGAACTCAAGGCAGGGAGCACATCAATACATTCCTTTGACCAAGACTGGAAGCCAGGGAGACTCCCAAGCAAGGGCTGGTAATTACCCTTCCATGCAAATAATGTCTGATGTTCTACAGCAGGCCACAGGCCTCTGTATTCTATGATAAAACAATCTCTTCAGTCCCGTAGGACGTTTGGAGTCTTTTGTTCTTCAGCTGCCTGACGCAGGACACCACGATGCTGAAAGTAGCGATAGGCCTGGGCACCACACAGGAAGCTGCCGTACACGGTGAGCAACATCATGGAGGCAGAGAAGGCCTTGTAGCCAAAGTCAGCTACTTGTTTAGCCGATGGCATTTTGCCCCCTGCAAAAAAACTGGATTCAGATCCAAACCATTGAATATGATACACATACTCCCAAGTGCTCACCACCGTTCTAGTTAGAATTATCCCAGCAGTACACAATATATTTCCCATATAAAAAGACTTAGATGGGTATAAGGAAGTGAAGACAAAGACTTCCTTTGGGAATTCCCAATACAAAGAAGCAAACATAACTGAGAAAAAACAGAATGAACAAGAACTAAATTAGGAACAAGTTGACAACTGATTATTATTCACGTTAACGAGTATGGACAAAGCCAAAAAGATAGAATCCAAAAATTGTTTCACTTGGTGTAGGGTATGTGACCTGATCTTTTTTTTTATTTTTAGGAGATTAACTTTCTTAATTTTGTTTGACTAAGGCTAGTAATTAAATCTGCATGCCCTGAACTCATGACAGATCAAATAGCCAGTAGAAGATACGTATAAAAGATTAACACTGGCTGTGGCATCACATTAAGAGGGCCCAAAGTGCTGTACACATAGAATGTTACCAATAAATGCTTCATAATATGAACTGTAATCATTCAATTATACTTAGCTACCCTTTGTAACACTTTTTTTTAAAGAAAAGGCATTCCAGTTTCCCGTCTGAACCTCTGGAACACAACTACAAGACCTAGAACTCAAATCTGTGCCCTCCTGTAAAGGTGCTGTCTTGGAGAGCTCACTGGTTCCAATGGCTTGAAGTGTTATCTCAATTCTGGATGGCTTTCAAAACTTTATCTGCAGCCCTAATCTTTCTCTTACACTTGGGGGACACATCAACTATCTGTTGGAGATGCCACACAAGCTCAATATGTCCAAAACTGATCTTATTATCTCTCCTTCCTTTCCCCCTAAAAAGCCCTATCACTCCTTCAGACTTCCCTATTTCCAATGAGGATACCATCACTCCTTTAGTCATTCACTCAGGTTTACCACCTGAGTCATCCTCAATCCCTTCTTAGGCATTCACTAAACACCTACCACGTGCCAGGCACTGTGCTAGCCACTGAGGATACAAAGACAAAAATTATGTAATCCCTATTCTTGAGAGCTTTGCATGACAGACAGCAAGGCACAATGACTAGAAAGCAGGCCTAGAAGCCATAAAGACCTAGGTTCAAGTCCTGCCTGACACATGTGACCCTAGAAAAGTCACTTAAACTCTCAGTGCTCTAGATAATTCTCTCATGATTCTTAGTTGCAGAGAAGTTGCCAACCTTCACCATACAGAGAGTTCTCTAGAATCACAATTCTAGTCCTTACCCCGAAAAATAAATATAGAACAAATAAAATACAAAATAGTTAATAAAGGAAGGCACCATCAGGATCAGGAAAGGAATGTGTGCTTGAAGAAAGGGAGCAATTCTGTGAAAGAGAGGTGAGGAAGGAGTGCACTCCAGTTGTGGGATGGCTAGAACAAAGGCAGAGACAGGGCACGAGAGTATCATGTGTGAGGACCAGAGAGAAGACCAAGCTGACTGGATCAGAGTGTGAAGAAAGGGGAGCATGTATAACGCAGGTGGAAAGACAAATTAGACACAAGGTGTGAATGACTTTAAAAGGGCTCATATGTTATCCTAGAAGCAACAGAGTCATTTAGAAGGGTCATATCTGTGCTTATGAAAATTCACTGGCAGCTGTGTGGAGGAGAGCTGGGGAGGGAGTCGGGGCAGGGAGACCAGTGGGAGGCCATGGCAATAATCCAGTTGAGAAGAGATGAGGAAGGGCCTGGAACTAAGGTGGCAGCTGTGTGAAGAGACAGAGGGTGTCAGAGAGGACAGATGCTGTAGGGGTAGAAGGAACAAGATTTGGCAACTGAGTGGATATATGAGGTGAGGAAGAGTGAGGAGTTGAGGATAATGTCAAAGTTACAAGTGGAAGAGTGACTGAAAGAAAGAAAAATGACAGAAATACGGTTTGGAGGAAAAGCTAATGAATTCAAGTTTGGACATACTGAGGGGAGGGAGTAGGTCAACAGTGTCAAATGCAGCAGAGATCAAAAAGGATCAGGACTGAGAAAATATGAGACCACCATATCTGTCAAGGGCAGGAACTGTGTTTCTCTCTCTCCCTTCCTCCCTTGTATATCTCTAACAACTTACAGATCATAAACACCTATCTGTAATGTAATTAATGTCTGTTCAAATGAAATGTAAGATGGGGAAGGGTTGAATATGTTTCAGACACCTAGGGGCTGAAGACCCCGGGCTGAGAATGAGTAACAGTGCAAGCACAGTACTGGCCTGGCGAACAACAGCAGGCTCAACAGAGCTTAAGTTCTCTGTTCCCTCCTGTACCAATCATGCTGAGCCCTGCCACCAACTTTAGGAAGGAAATACATTCTGAAAAAGGAACAACAGATTGTTCATTCACTTCAACATTTATTAAGTTTGGTGAGAAAGTTTTTTTTTTAATTAATAATAGCAATGACAAGCAGGTTGAGTTATCTTTCTGAGGTGAATAATCAAATGAGGGACAAAGGTGATTCGACAATTTTGATTACATGAATCTAACAGCTTTAGCATGGACAAAAATTAATGCAACTATAATAAGAAAGGTAGTGCTGAATGGGGGGAAAAAACCTTTGTTTCCAATATCTCCAAGAAGGTTCTGATATCCAAGATATACACACAACTAAGAAGGTCTGACAGGTTATTCCCTCATACGTACGTGGTCAAAGGACATGAACAGTTCTCAAAAGAATTGCCAATTATTAACAGGATAGGAAAGAATGCTCTAAATCACTAATGATGCAAAAAACATACATCAATAACACTGGGGTTCCAACTCACACTCAGCAAACTGACAAAGATGAGAAAAGACGGGAATAGTCAATGCTGGAGAAGTGGAAAAATAGGCACACTACTACATGGCTGATGGAACTATGACTGGTATAACCTCTCCGGAAAGCAATCTGGAATTATGCAAATACAGGAGTTAAAACTGCCACTGTTGGGTGTATACCCCGAGGAGGTCACTGACCAAAAAATTTTATATACGTCAACATGTTTATAGCAGCACTTTTTGCGGGAGCAAAAAAACAGAAACAAACTAGATATCTATTAATTAGGAAACGGATAGAAAAAGTGTGAATATAATGGAGAATTACTGTGCTATAAGAAGCAATGATTATAAATATAAAGAAGCACAGATTTAAATGAACTGATACAAAGCAAGGAGAGCCAAGCAAATAATACACATATCCAGGTAAACAGAAAGAACAACAAAACAATCAAAACATGAATGCTGAAAAACCACAAAGAACAAGCCGGGCCTCAACATTTTCCTTCACTTCTTTGCAAAGCTGAGGAAGTCCACAGATATGAAATACTGAATACAATATCAGATTTTTTTTGATGTACTGATCAGTTCTGCTGAATTTTTCCCCTCTTTCTCTTTTTACTGTTTAAATTCCTTGCAGGCAGAGCCAAGAAAGCAAAATACACAGCACCTATTGTGTAGTCCACTACATACAACATATAGTTGAAAGAACTACACACACACACACACACATACACACACACACACAAAAATCAAAAGTGAACACTGCAAAATAATAAAGAATCAAGATGGTTCCAAAGAAGAGATATGGGAAGATACTCCCACACTCCCCTTTTAAAGAGATGGGTGGGGCTGCTAGGTGGCAAAATGGATAGAACACCTCCCTGGAATCAGGAAGACCTGAGTTAAAATCCAGCCTCAGACACTTGATACTGTCGTGACCCTGGGCAAGTCCCTTAACCCTGACTGCCTTGAAAAAAAAATTAAAGAGACATGAATTCCACAAGTGTGGTACAGCACACCTATTTTCAGACTTTTCTATGTATTGATTAGGCTAATTTTTCTCTCTTTTTGTCTTTAAAAATATTGTTTCTTATATGGGATGGCTCTCTGGGAGCAGGAGGGATACCGAGGAAAATTGGGGGGGAAAAAAATCAATATATAAAGACATTAATGAAAACTTATTTTTGGGACATCCAGGTGGCGCAGTGGATAGAGCTCCAGCCTTGGAGTCAGGAGAACCTGAGCTCAAATCCTGCCTCAGACATGTAACACTTACTAGCTATGTGAGCCTTAATAAGGGCAAGTCACTTAACCTGGATTGCCTCACCAAAAAAAAAAAAGCAAAAAACAAAAAACAAAAAACTCTTAATTTTTAAGAAATTCTTTGTTAAAAGGCATGCTCTGAGGAGGTGTCGTGGAAGGGGTAAAAAAGGAAATCTAGATGGTATAAAAACAAAAGATCAACATAAATCTATTTAAAAAACAAAACAAAAAGAAAGCAAATCAAAAGAGCCTTGAGATTTCACCTCACTCCCACCTAGCAAACTGCCAAAAATAACAAAAGATGAGAACCATCAAAGTCAGAGGAGTTATGGAAAGTCATACTAATGCATTACGGTAGAGCTGTGAACTTACTCCACAATTCTAGAAAACAACTTGGAATCAGGAGTGACTAAAATGGCTATACCTTCTGACCTAGAGATTTCACTTTCAGGCACATAATACTCCAGGGATGTTAATAATAAAAACATAGGTCCAAATACATACCAAACTATTTACAGTTGAGCTCTGTGTTTAACAAAGACTTGAAGCAAAGCATATTATTATTATTCAAAAATGACTAAACAAGTTCTGGTACATTAATGTAACAGTATCACTGTGCTATAATAAATGATAAAGATGATCGATACAGAGACACATGAGAAGCCTTACATGAAGCAATGCAAAGTGAAATAAGCAAAACTAGGAAAACCACATGCACAAAGATTACAACAATATACCCAGAAAGAACAACAAAACAATCAAAACTGAATGCTGTGAAATTATAATGACCAAACTTGGCGTCAGAAGATTTATGAGAATGCCCTTCAGAGTACTATTATAGAAGCTGAGGACTTTGGATGTGGAACTGGGTATGTCAGACTTTTTAAAAAATGTCTTGGGTTAGTTTTGCTGAAAGTTTTTTTCTCTCTTCTAAAAAATATTTATAAGGGATGGCTC